ATTCTCCTGCCTCAGCCTCCCAGGAATTTTTTTTTAAATGACTATAGTACCCAACAGCATCACTGTTTTTACTGAGTGCCTTTAATAGTGTACAAGTTTGGGGCCAAAAATTTGGGGCCAAGAAACTAACTCAGTGGCACAAAATCAACAAGCGATGGTCCTGGGATACAAACTTGAGTCCGCTGATTCACAACATAAAGGATTTAAGTAACATACCTTTTAAGTTACCTATTTCACTACTTTCCCTACAAACTGCTGATGTGTTGTTTTTTCTTTAGCTTTCTCAGATAACTAGAGAACTACCATAGATTCCATCCCCCAATGCTATTTTAAATCAGAATTAAATTAGCTCATGTCTTCCAGAAATGACACTGTCATTGAGTATATGCGTTTAGTGGTTACTACAGTCTGTCAACATAACATAGTGGTCTGAGACTCACTATTTTAGAATTTGTATATAAATAAGACAAGCTACCTTGAACAGAGACAAAAATATGAATGATACCTACATCAACAATTAAGAAGTCCAGCCAACACCAGGCATTGGTGAAATATGTTTGATAGCCATATGCCACCCATTTTAGAAGCATTTCCAGAATGAAAATGTAAGTGAAAACCTTGTCAGCATATTCCAACATTGTCTTAATCGTCTTTCGCTGATCAATATATATATCTTCAAATGCCTATAAAGAAAATGTTACACATTAGCTTTCAAAAATGATTATACTCTATAAGCTATTTTAAAAACCTAATCATATATGCATATGACATTTCATTGGAATAGGAGGGCAGAGAAACAATAGTTACGGTTCCTTTTTTTTCCTGTCAAAGCTCTTTTACTTATTTCATCAGGGGAAAGACTATTGGTAGAAGAAAAAGAAAAGTATGATTCCAGTGAATTAAGTTCTTGATGTTGTATCCTGATGTGGCCATTGCAACTTGAAGTTATGTATTCCTTTTGTTTCATTTATTTTGCTTCCTTCTATTCTTTTTTTTTTTTTTTTTGCTATAGAAAGGAGGTTGAAGAAATAATGAAAACTTGTGTTTTTGTAAAGCAGAAATTGTGATTGATCTTCACAGTTTCCAATTTTACTAAATAGTTGAGTTCATCCGCTTCTTTTTTGTTGTTGTTTGTTTTTTTAATAGTTTATGTTTCTCAACAGACATACAGCGTGACAATGATTAAATGAAATTGCTTTTCATTTAGATTCTAACATATATTATTCTGTTATGAACATCTTGATGTTTCACTTCTAAGTATGCATTGCTTTCAACTGTGAAATACTTCTAAAGTAGCATGTAGAAAATATTTCTTTCTTCAGAAAAATTACAGGTAAATATATGTCTGTGTTAGAATTATAAACTGAAGTTAAAGAAACTTGTACTATTGTTGCATTTTAATCAGGCAAACTCTTGTTTCTCTCTCTTTTTCTATCTATGGCTTAAGTATTTCCTTTGTGTCAGTGTTTCTCTAAAATTCTATCTGTATATTTATATTTTTATAAATAATTTTCATATAAAAATAAATTGATTCTGATGAAGTGAACACCTTCTTATAAAGATAAACCCATCCTTAAATGAATCTCTTAGGCATGCTGCCCAGTATTTATTGTTACCAACTTTCATTATTTCCTGAGTAGCACAAAAATAGTGAGCACACAGTTGGAAAAAGACAGAGAGTGGTCCCTAAGGACTTACTACTGTCCATCAGAGATAATAATAATAAATACCATTTAGAAACAAAATTCATCAGAACTCAGAGAATATATATTCCCATCCCAGGGCTTCCAATAACTCTTTTCTTATTACACAATGAGTAATCGAATATTCACATCCTTTGGTGTTAATGAATAAGCTGAAGGGCTACACTTTCTGGGCTATTTAATAATAAGCAAAAATTAATGATTAGCTTCTTAAAATTGTATTTACATACATAGTAAAAGTAAATCCAGAAATGTAGAGTTATAGAGTAAATCTATAGTCTAGAGGATACAAGGTAGGATAATTAAAAATGCATGCATTGGATACTAAGACAATGAAACAGAAAGGATGAATACGTCATCAGTATTAGAATATTCTAAAGATTAGTGCCGTATCACCTTTTCTTAATATTCACTCACCAGAGCACCGCTACTAAGGAGAATCATGAAAACAATGAAGGTCTCAAACCAGTTATGTTCAACTATTCGGAAACACGTCCTTCTCAGGTTCCACCATTGTTTTCCTCTGCCTTCTTCCACATTGATTTGACAACACTTGAATCTTTGTACACAGCCTGCAGAAATAGTGTTCAAATAAAAGTAGATAAAATATCTCTGCTTCCATAATATCCTTTAGCAATGTCCTTGTCTTATCTTTTTATTACTATGCTCATCTCTGTCTTGCTAGGGTAGCTCTCTAAGCCTAGAGTAGTAAGAGCACATTCATCAGCTGTGTGAAGTTGTGGAAATCATTCAGCCTCTTTAAATGGTTCCCTAGTGAACAGTATTTGCTTTGTCTGCCTCACAGTGTTATTGTACAAGAAAAACTTTGTAAATTACAAATAAATGTGAAGTAGTTTTTCCTTGTACCGTATCATCCTGTTGCACTCTGTTGAAGTCATTCTAGAGAAGAACTTTAAATTGGACATTAAAAATGATAAGCAGAAAACTTCCCCCCTTTTATAAAGGATAGAGAGTAAAAATGTAGATCTCTTCCAACAATCCTGCATTTCTAGCCATTCAGGATTTTTTTGTTATGTGCCTAGAAGGGCTTATGTAATTTGCAAAATTAATTTAGTTCACTAAAATGTAGTTTGTATGGTTTGGCTTTGACTTGTCATTGCCTTCCTCACACATTGCTTTCACTTAGTCTAAATGAAATCAGCAGGTATTTCTGAGTACCGTTGTAAGCACAAAGGTACACTTAGGTACACACACAAAAAGGCACAGAACATGTACCTTACTCCCAAGAACCTTACCAAAAAAAATCTGGTTTTCAAAAAAAAAAAAAGAAAAAAAAAAGATATAAATACAGGATCCCTGCTCCAAGGCAAAAAAAAGGAGGGAAAGATATGTTCGAAGAAGGAGAAAGGGAATGAATGGAGAAAAGGAGGAAGAAAAGAAGGGAAGGAGGAAAGAAGGAACTAAGGAATGAAGGAATGGAGGAAAAGAAGAGAAAGAAGACAGTAAAGCAACATATAACAGTTCAAAAAGAGAAAGAGTTTTCATAGGATAATATATGTTATCAGGTAAATTAAATGGAAATATTTGTTACAGCCATTCAGAGGAACAAGCTGCTCTTCCACCATGGTCAGATGGGGGTAGTTTTGAGAAGGACATTAAGTGATATGCATGATTTGTATAGGGAATAGAAGAAGATTGAAGGTATACTAGGCCTATGAAAAAAATAACATCAAATATAAAGCATGCATATTTCCAAACCTCAAATTCCCAGGGACATCAGACCACAGGAAATATTAGTTGTAGGAAAAACATATCTCTTCTATCTATTGCCCATACTGCACCAGGCTTAACTTGTGACTGGTTAGGTATTGAGTTTCAAGGGCCGTATTTATTCCCCATTTCATCCAACAATCATTGGAAACTGATGTTTTCATTAAAGAAACACAATTTAGCACTAGCAATCCATTTAGTTTTAGCAGTCAGAAAGTTACCTTTAAGGCAAATTCTGTGTAGGATCATTTTCACTAGTGTTTTAAAGGTGCTAACTTATTGTGAAATCACCATTTAATTTAAAAACATAAGCTAGAAGTTTTGATGACATTAAAATATTTTTCCTCCATGTTCTTAATCTCTTTCATGTTTTGGGCAGATATAATCAAAGCACAACACTAGATTTTTAAGTTTTTTTGTCTATCAACATATTGGAGGTAATTGAATTGTATCTATTACAAAGTGCCGTTTTATTATATGTGATTTATTTTAGGTGACCAACAGCTAAACAAGCTGCATTCCAAATGAAAGATTAACACTGGGATTCTTTTCTTTACCTTCAGTGAAACAGGCTTCCGGTTCAAGGGTTTCTTCAGGTTCCACTACGGGCTGTTCTTCTGCAGGTGCGCCGATGTCCACAGTGCTACCTTCTGATGAGCTACTGCTTTCATTCAGTTTCTGTAAGTGAGATGGAAGTAGAAAGTAAAGTCCTTTCATTTTGACTGCCAAGAAAGGATTATTACTATAAATTTGTTTTTTATTCTTCTTGAGGTAGAGATATTTTTAGAGAAAAAGAGAGATTGAATAAGAGGAGGGAATCAGAAAATCATTGTCTATGTTAACTCTTTTACCATAATTCACAATGTAAGCATGAAATCAGATTGCTGTGTTATGAGGTTACAAAAGGCCATCAGCCACATGTACTGAGCAAAACACTGCCCTGTGGATTAGAAAAGCAGGGGACAGAGGGAAGAGAAGAGGGAGGAGGAGAAAGGGAAAAGGAACAGGAGAGTAAGGGAAAAGGAGCAGGAGAGAAAGAGAAACCTTACTTTAGAAGATAATAATGTCATTAGGTTATTCTGCAGTTTAATGTTTGACTTTACATATTTCTTTAACAATGTCTTACCTATGTGTGAAAATACCACCTGTTGTTTTCACTCAAGTTACTAAGATTCATGGTTAAGGCGTTCAGAGTTATTTACTATAAATGTACTCATTTGGAGAGAAATTGTTATAAAATATGTTAAAAATTACATCAATAAACAACCTTAGAGATATTAAATAGACATCTTCAATTTCTGGCAAATATTTTAGAG